GTAGTTTATACTGAAGCTACATAAACAGCAGTTCATTTTAGGACATGAAATGGATCTGTTTGTATTCTTCTGTGACTATTGATGGGGCAAAAGACCAGAGTTGTTATCACACCTCTGAGGAGTACTGAAATTCTAGTGCTCCTAGGATATCCATCACTAGAGGCCTATGTAAACAAAACTAGACAAATTTCTGTCAGGAATGACATTGGTATGAATCTGCTTTAGGTAGAGGAGAGACTAGACAAGTTTTCACTCTGGATGCTATTGGTGAAGTTTTGTAAACTTTTTAACCTGCACTTGAGAAATGCTTAACCTGAACATCAGTATGCATTCAACCACTGTTTATGAATCAACATTCTTTGATTTGACTGTTTTATCTGTTAAGATACTTGCCAAGACTATCCCAGTTTGCTCTACAGAATTTTTTTGGTTGTAGATACGTGCTTGCTAAGTTTCTCAGGTGGCTGCCAGAGACATACCTGGAGAAACAGTGTGACTGGTTCGGTTCAGGCATAGGACTGGTCATCATAGTATTTCTGTGGTGTTTATGTTTGTTACCTGGTTTCACTGTAGCCCATAATCAGTTAATACCCGAGTGACAGACAATATTTCAATTTTCCTTCATGATGGCTAAGCTGGAAAAGAACCTTGTCTGTCAGCGCTGGCTCTCATGCATTTGGACTTTGGCAGGCAATATCTGATAGTACTTTTGCTGGACTTTAAGGATAGCAACATGATTGATGGCTAAAAAGACACAAGAAAAATAAGGATTTCTGTCACTGACCTTCCACTGACATTGTTGGAAGAGAGAGTGATAGATCAAGCTGTATGTATAGAGTATGTATTTAACTAATGCTATACTCTGTGGTGCCTTTGGGTAAATATTTCCAGACAATTGTATGACAGGGAAATTATTTTATATTTTTCCCTCTGATATGAAGGTTGTTACTGTTACTTTTCTTATTACTGTAATGATAATTGTTAAATATTTATGTTTAACATTTCTATGGGTCTGTGGTTTTCCATGAGAGTTCACAGAGATACTCAGAAAAGACTCATTCTGTATTCTGCCTTCTTTCCTCATCTTGGTTATTATCCTGCTCCATAAATGACATAAGTGATTTCAGTTAGCAGTTGTCAGCCAGCTGCCTGTGTATGTTTGTCACAAGTCCTGTGACACTCATGAGTCTTTGACCATTCCTTCCTACTTTGCTGGATGCAAAACTTCTGCTTTTGGGGACCAGATCCTGTGTAACCATCTTTGAACCTAGTTCTTCCAGGTTAGTGAAGGAGAATCATAGAAGCATGCCAGCATGCCTTGGCTGGCAGGTACGTTTGCCACTGTCCAGGTAAGTCAGTACATCTTGCTGGATTCAGTATTCCCTGGGAAAAAGGAGTCTTGAAATCACTCTTAGTGATGGACAAGCCTTTAGTGTAAAGTAAACAAATACAGTTGTACTAAAATAGAAATCTTAAGAAACCAGCTGTTGTGCTTTGTGAAGATGCAGAATACTAGAGTATAGCTTGCCACACCGTCGTGCTGCTTTGGCTAGTTTCTGTCTTCTGCTGACCTCGTGGTCATGATAGTCATGCTACCTCCCAGGAGAATTCACACAGGTCCTAGATCTGTGATCTGGAGGGGCAAGCAGAATTGAATGGGCTGATAAATTCAGAAGTTAGAAACAGTGAGTCATGAGAGTAACAGTTTCTGTTGTGAACAGGATGAGTATCATCAGTGAAGAATCACGACTTTGGAACTTATTAAGAAGGTGAAGAGCTCAGGAATAAGAGATAGATCTCTCTGAGTTCACTTCTTATCTGTCTTTATGGAGAAGTTAAACTTAAAAAGAACTAATCTGTTTGTTTTGCAGTGATGATTTCCCTTTTGAGCTTAGCATAGAGAGATTTAATTTTGCAAGCATTATCCTAAATGTCCATTAGTGCAGCTGTAACAAACATTCATCTGTTAGTTCCTTAAGCAGCATGTTTCCTAGAGCTATTCTTCGTGTTCCTTACTCCACACTTCTTCATGTCAGTCAAATTATCAATAACAATAATTACAAATCCCATTAGGAACTAATTACATATATGCAACTTCAGGTTAGTTTACCTCTTTGCCAACATTATCTCCGAGATTTTTAACTGCAGTCAATCCAGCTTGCTTCTGGCTCCATTAATTATGGCTACACATCTTTACAAAATATTAAGACCTAGAAGTCATCTTAATGGTATTCTGCTGCTTCAGAAATAAGAAACACCTATAAAATGGAGTAACTTTCTCTGTCTTCAGTTGCACTGAACTCTGTCCACTACCCACTCTAAGAGCTCCACCATTCTCATTGTATATCTGCTCAGTTCCTGAGTGACACAGTGAACTCCCCATGTGATCTTGTTTTGCTTGCTTGCTTATGTACTGTAACTGGAGTTGAGAACAGAGCCTTGCTGACAAAATATGGAGAAAGATAACATGAAATGGACTGGAGAATGAGTCATCATAAGGATATGTTATAGATACTTTTGAAAGCTGTTGCATGAACTCACCTCTTTCCTGAGAACATGAAGGGAACATCAGTAGTTCTTCCAATAGAGAGTGTGAAAAACAATAGCTTACATGGATGTGGTGCACCTTGCAAGGAAACTATGGCTTTGGACCATAACAAAAAAAAAAAAAAAAATCCATTCCACATATTTCAGCAAAGTAGTTTTTATATGCTGTTACAACTGAGGTAAAAATGTATATCAACATGTACGTATGGGTTCATTTCTATAATAATCTGTGTAATTTTCTTTGCTATATGCATGCATCTCTTCCCCAGACAGTGATGGAAATTAAGGGGAACATTTGCAATCAACAAGGGAAAAAAATAGTCTATGAAGATATATCATACTGTAGCCTGTGTTAAATTGAAGCTTGTGGAATCCAACTTGCTGACTTTAAGTGTTTAATGAAAACAGAATCATTATCTCCTCTCTAGGCAGGTAGAGAACTCTTTCGGGATTTAAACACATGCATCAGAAGAATAGACCTGTGTGTTTCTGGAAAGTTCACACTGTCGTGGTTTGGGCCTGGTCGGCAGCCAACCACCACGCACCGGCTCTCTCTCTCCCTTCTCTTCCAGCAATGAGAAGGGACAGAGAGCCAGGCTTGGGGTTCGAGATAGGACTGGGATGGGGAAAAATCTCCCTTTATGATCACGAGCAAAAGGCAGACTCGTTAGGGGAATTAAAAAAGAACATACATTTATTACAGACACTAACAACACATAAAGGAGTAGGACAGTGAGAAGAATTGCCACATCTTGAGAACACCTTCCCCCCACCCCTCCCTTCTTCCTGGGCTCAGCTCTGCTCCCGATATCTCTACCTCCTCCCCCAGTGGCGCAGGGGCAGGGAATGGGGGGTGCAGTCAGCGCTGCCACTTCCTTCATCTTTGGTGAGGGGAGTGTCTGAAACTTGTTCCTCCTGCTCCATCGTGGTCCCCCTCTCACAGGAGACAGTCCTCCACAAACTTTCTCCAACATGAGTTCCTCCCACAGGCCACAGCGTTCCCCACACTGCTCTGTCATGGGTCACTAACTTTCTCCGATTGGATTCCCTCCCACGGCTGCAGCCCTTCCTGAGCTGCTCCGGCGTGGGACACCCCCACATGCTGCAATCTCCCAGCGCTGAATTACAGCAGCGGGGCTGCCTTTTCCCACAAGACCCCATCCTTCTTCGGGCACAGAACCTTGATCATTCAGGTGGAAGCCACAGGCCGTAAATCAATGTCTGCTCTACCGTAGATCTTCATGGGTGGCAGGGGGGGCCGCCCTGCCGTCTCACCACAGGATACAGGGGGGTCTCTGCTCCGGCACACCTCCCCCCTCCTGTCTTCCTCCATTCCTCCACTGACCTTGGTGTTCACGCAGCTGCAGCAACTCCTCCTCACAAGTCCCACTGCTCGTCACCACGTCCCTTCTTAAATACGTTATCGCAGAGGCGCAGCCGATTGGCTCAGTTTTCCAAACAGAAGTGGAGCTGGCTTGGAGCTGGGGAAGCTTCTCACAGGGGGCCGCCCCTATAGCCCCCTCCCCTGCCACCAAAAAAACTCCACCACTCACTCAAACACAGGACATACACCCACAGGGTTACACTTTGTTTCTGCAGTCTGGATAGTTAAGAAAAAAATGCTGTTCTGAAAAAGAAAATGAAAGCAAATCATAAAGCTTGATGTTTCCCATACTCGGTTTTAAAAAGCAGCCTCAAATGCTTATGTTTGTATTGCACTTTACTTGTAAAGTGCTTAATTTAAAAAGCCTTCCTCAGACTCCCCTAAACTCTTCCCCTTGCAGGGACAGGCCTTTTAAAACTTTAAAAGAGTGGGACAAAATTCTAGCTGATTGATTTATAAACACCTGAAAAAAGCAGTTAATGTGGAAAGTGCTGGAACATCCTTAACCAAAGTGTTGTCACTGGATGTCACTTCAGTTTAATAAGTTATTAGAAAGTGGCATAAGGTAGATAGAAGACAAGGCAGCTCTAAAGGAGAGAGAAAAGCATAGGGAGCGTAACTGTGAAATTAAAGATGCTTCTTCCCAATTGCCCATGGCCAGTAGTAATGTTCTTTGAATCAAAATGCTTTGCGTTGTTGATTTTATGCAGACAGCTTTCTATCTTGCAAATCAGCAAAGCAACACCTTCCTATGTTTTTTTTTTTTTGCTTAAAGTCAGTTACTTATTTCTTCATGTCTTTTATAGACACAGGAATCTATATTAAATAGGCATAGCTTGTCTAGTTTCCTTTCATGTGTGTTCATGCCTTCCTTCATCCAGTAAATATGCTTGCACATGTGTCTGTGAGTTACTGTTTTTTGTAAAGTTGACTTTTATGTCATTGTAGCGTAATGAGTTTATTATGTTTTTCTGCCTTTTAATTTCATTTGGAAAAAACATAAGTAATTTTTGCCTCATCATGTATCTTCCGCAAAACCAATTTAATGCTAACTTCTTTTATTGTGCAGAGCTGGTTATTTGCCTCAGTATATTCCTTTGGAGATTATCAGATACCTTTCAGAGGAGAAGGATTTTCTGCCTTGGCATGCTGCCAGCCGAGCTCTTTATCCTCTAGATAAATTGCTGGACCGCACAGAAAACTACAACATCTTCAATGTAAGAGAGACAGTCTTCCCCAGCCTTTCCTTTCCTTTCCTTTCCTTTCCTTTCCTTTCCTTTCCTTTCCTTTCCTTTCCTTTCCTTTCCTTTCCTTTCCTTTCCTTTCCTTTCCTTTCCTTTCCTTTCCTTTCCTTTCCTTTCCTTTCCTTTCCTTTCCTTTCCTTTCCTTTCCTTTCCTTTCCTTTCCTTTCCTTTCCCTTTCCCTTTCCCTTTCCCTTTCCCTTTCCCTTTCCCTTTCCCTTTCCCTTTCCCTTTCCCTTTCCCTTTCCCTTTCCCTTTCCCTTTCCCTTTCCCTTTCCCTTTCCCTTTCCCTTTCCCTTTCCCTTTCCCTTTCCCTTTCCCTTTCCCTTTCCCTTTCCCTTTCCCTTTCCCTTTCCCTTTCCCTTTCCCTTTCCCTTTCCCTTTCCCTTTCCCTTTCCCTTTCCCTTTCCCTTTCCCTTTCCCTTTCCCTTTCCCTTTCCCTTTCCCTTTCCCTTTCCCTTCCTTCTTTCCTTTCCTCTTCCCTTTCTTTCTTTCTAGCACTCTCTCTCCTTTCGTTGCCAAGAGTTGAACTATTCCCCAGTCAGATACTGTTGATGACCTAGGGATATTAGCTTTCTTCCTAATTATTCTTTATTTAAGCATAGCAATTGTCAAGCTTTGGTTCATTTGCATTTGAACAGTGACAACTGTTGTTTGAGGCATATATGATTAGTGGAAGGAAAGGTAATTATCCCTCCTATAAAATATTATGACAAATAAAATATTTCACTTAAAAGAGCCAAAGTAGTCTATTTCCAGATTTTCTCTTCTGAGGAGCCCCATGGCAATATTTATATTGATGCCCAAGCTCAGCAAGGACACCAAATGCAGGCACAACTGAACAGGACACATGCAGCTGAAGTAAATATCTGTAGTCATTATTTCATCCAAAAAGCCATGGTGAATTCAATGCAGTTACCTTAATTAACAAGGATTAGATCACCATTGAATCAAAACCCCATTCATAATTGGGTCCAAAGAGACAGCAGTAACAGCTAGCAGTAGATAATTAAGATAGACATGACAAAGATTTTAACATTTTTCCTGAAATAAAAAAAAAGTAGCTATACTGAAGCATATTTTATGAAGTACACAGGATTTGATTGCAGCCAGTGACAATTATGAACTCTTAGGTTTTTTTATTCACTATGAATTTTATGTAGTCTATGTATTTTAAGCAATCAACATACTATAATTCTATGTAATTTTGTAGAGTCTTCAAATGAAGCCTGAAATGCTTAAAGGTGTTTTTTTCTTCATAAGCATATAGTTGCTTTTGTGTGTGTGTCCACAGACACACATGCTCAGAGAGCAGGAATCTAGAGGTGGTTGTATATATGTATGTATATAGAAGTACATACATATATATACACACACACTTACACAGAAATACCTGCTGACAGGGAAAATTATTTTTGCGGAACATACACTACAGATTAATAAAGACACATTGAAATTCTTTATGAACCTACAACGTAGGCCTACATGCAAACCAGAGCCATAATATAAAATGATGTTGAAATAATTTCCATGTTTAGTCTGTTGTTAACTACACAGAAAAGTTCTGCCATGGCTATTTCACTTTTAAACATGGCTGTGCAAAGAAAACACAATTTTAATAAATAAAACCAGTAAAATTCATGGCTGGGTTGTGTTTTATCACTACTGTTGAGAGCTTTGAAAGCAGAGGTGATAGCAGAGGAAATAAAAAGCCTTTTTAGTCACAGAATAACGTATCTGCTAGAGAAAGCTGCACTATGAATCTCCTTTTGTGTTGACATCATATATACATGCCTGTGAATCCACAATAATAAAATAGATGCTGTCCTGTGCATTTCTTTATATCTCAGTTCTTTCTTTAAAAATTGGTGAATTCCACTAGAAAAAGATTATGCTGAATACAATGATAGTGGTTTTCTTCACAACTGGTCAAAATTTGTAAATATGTCTCCTGTGTAAAAAGTAGAAGCAACTAAAGTAGATCTTGGGCTTGTTTTGTTCTTTAAGCACACCAAGAAACTTAAAGCATAGTGTCATTAAATGTACCAATTTACACTTATTTGCAGTCACATTATTCTGTATTCTGAAGTCAATTGCCTGTACTTGCGTAATGGTTTTTTGGCATGGTATGGATATTAAGACAGTATTCTTTTAAAATCGAAAATGCATGGTGTAGTCAAGATTGGCCATAGAGTAGAAATTAAGCTGTTGAGGCTCTTGCAATTTTTCAGCCGTGTATTATGAGTTCAAAATAGCATGTAAGAGACTTTGTAAATGGATGGGGTTTATAACAATAAATTGTCTTATCAAATAGCTGTTCTATAGATTACTTCTCACTGTAGCAGTGGAGGATTATAAGTGGACATGTTGCTTTGCTAAATGCAAATCAAAATCTTAGGAAAGTTGGGCATTACTTGAGAGTAAAAAGAGACACAAAACCTCAATAATCAGTAGTATTTCAATTTCAAATAAAAAATAATTGTTGACATTAAATACATTTTTTCTTTTCCCCCTCAGGAGTATATTTTAAGACAAGTTGCATCAATGTATATCAAGCTTGGATGGCCAACAAATAATTTAAACAAATCACTTGTTCAAGCATCATACCAACATGAGTACTGTTATATTTCTTTTTTTTTTTATTGTTTGTTTGTGGGATTTAGTTGTAATAACGCACTCTCCTAAAATTTGGTGTCATCTTCAGCATGTCATACTTTCCAAGCTCTGTCATCCTTCTGTTTTTAATTTCTGGATGAGAGGGAAGGCAGCAAGATGCTGAGAGATGAATTTCTCTTTCCTGAGTTTGGAGACCATGATTTGCTAAGACTTAATTTAATATTTGACTGAACTGGATATTTAAGAACTCAGGCTCCTGTGACCACAGAGGTCAGGAAGAGTGCATAAGTGTAAATGGGGGCTGGTTTTGGTCCATGGCCTTTCTTCAGTTGTTGCAGCAGCTGTAAGCATTAAATTGACACTGAGATTTGTATAGCTGGATTATCTTTGATGTGTTGCCCAAGTATGAGTTGCTGCCACTGTTATAAGAAGTAGCTTTGTTTAAACATTGCAACGCATTCATTAATACAGCCTTATTGCTTTCTTTAATTTGGACAGAGAGTTGCGTCGGGAAGTCATCATGTTGGCCTGCAGCTTCGGTAACAAACACTGTCACCAGCAGGCTGCAACGTTAATCTCGGATTGGATTTCTAGCAATAGGAACCGGTAAGTGGAACTGAAGTGTGTATTTCCCATGTCTCCTACTCCGAGGCAATACAGCTGGCATGCTCTTCCTCTCCTGCCCGCCCCCATTCTGCAGAGCGGTATGAAAGGAAGCAGAGGTCACTGGCTGCTATTTAAAAATGTCTGTGGGGCTTCAGAATGAATTATTTGACTTTGTATGTATGAGTGGGTGGAGGGGACACCCATGTAGCCTCTGCCCACTCCTGATAAATTGCTTTCAGATAATTATATGCTAGAAGGCGAGAAGATGGGTTTTAAGGAGGGGTTTAAAGGAAGAAAGATGAGTGAACACCGCATTGGCAGACAAACACGGAGCCTGTGTCAGGGCAAGAGAGCAGAAGGTGCAAAGTGATTAAAGAAGTGAGAGAGGTTAGAGGCAGAAGGACTGAGCAGTAAGAAAGGAAATGAAACAGTGTTTTTGAGGGAACTGTTATGAAGTACTTAGAGGTGAAGACTTGGAAATTAATGTCGTTCAGGAATACATGGTAAAGCTCATGTAAGGTTTCAGAGAGGGGATAATATGGTAGCTGATGTGCTGAGCTTTAGCACTGTAGTGGTTTGACAACAGTTACATAAATTAGGCTGTCCAGACACAGGTTTATTCAGCTGAGGCAAAGGAACATGTGCCATGGATGGTGTATGAAGTTTATCTTTCAAATGAAAGCATCTAAGAAATGGTAAATTACTGAATATACAAATATTCAAGTATGTAGTGAACTATGGACAATGAGATAAGTACAAAATATAGATTAAGCCCACAACTTCTTGAGGAAGAATGATGGATTTTCTGATTATGTGGAATGTGGGTGTAGAAGTATTTGCACAAGTGCATCACATGATATTTTGGTTTAAAGGAAAATATTTTACTTTCAAGTAACAAAAGAGAAGAGGAAGTGTCTTACATTTTTAGTCCTAATATTGTATTAGCTGTCCAAAAAGATCAGATCTCTACAGTCGTATAGGCATGTAGCATTTTTTAGTATTTTTTAGTATTTGTTTGCAATTAAAATATGTCTGGCTGTCTTTGTAATCTTTGAAAATCCTTTACAGGCATACTGAGTTACATAAGTACCTAAGTGTCTTTTAAAACCAGCTATGAACTGAGCATGAATAGAAATTACATTCCTATATGACTTTGAAACTTCTGAAAAAAAAAGATTTTGAAACTATGACTATGTACCTTTAAATAAGATGTGTGTGAGGGGGAGGGTTTTCATGTGTAAGATGATACCAGATATATTTACTATGAAATATATACCCTAGGGTATTATATGAATTCTTATCATCAGCAGCATCACTATGAAACTATTCAAAGAAGAGATTAAAGAGAAAGAATCATTGGAAACAATCTGCAAAAGCAATTTACTTAGATACTCATTTGCAAAATTAGTTAATCAAACCTAGCACCATCTATTAGCATGCACAGCAGTAGATTATTCAGTGTTAAAAGGCTGTCACCCTGAAAAGCTTTCTGCTACCCTGTGTCTTCATCCCTCCCAACAGGATTGAAGAAGGAGGCATCAGGAAAAAAAAAAAAAAAAGCTTAATGCTTTACTAACAATAGCAAGAGAGGAAAGGAATACATTTAAGATTTAAGGAGCCATCTAAAGATTCATCTCAGCCTTTCTATGGGGCCATTCATGGGAGCACAAGATTGTGGTTGCCAGCATATGACAAGTATTATGATAAAAGCATCACAGCAGGGCAGAGGAAGAGAATAGCTACTAAGTTAAAGCAGTGCATTTCTCTAAAGGAACTGCAGTTTTGAAAAATAGCTGCAACAAATAATGTAATTACAGAATACACATTGACACTCAGCTGATAAATAGGGGTGCAGCTTGCAAAGAAGTCAGAGACGTGTTTTTATTTATTTCTTAAGATTATGGGATTTGTTCAATTCTCCACCCCAGAATTTACCAGTTGCTGTTCTCAGAGCAGTCTCACATACTGAATGTAACTAACTTATGAGCAGACTCATTTCCTATCTCCTTAGACTGAAATGACATTGCAAAGGCTAGTAGTAAAAGCAGCTCGGTAGACATAAAATCAGCTTGTGTTGCACAGTAACAACATCTGTGGGGGTCTGTCAGTGTTCTCTCAAGAATGTTCAGATCCCTGCTTCATCAGAAGTACCCCATATCACCTCAACCAACTCAGACTGAAACTTGAAAATAAAGCAGGGACTGTTTTCCCTGCTTTTCCACCAAGAAAATTATGATGATTCTACAATGGGAATTTAATTAACATGGTGTTTGAGTCATGCTTCTGCCTCTTTAGCACTTCAGAGAGAGTATCTAGCTCAAGTGCAAAGGGCAAGCAGATAAGTACAAGATACATTCAGAGGGCACATCCAGCAGGTGCCATTTTATATTCTTTCTCATCAGTCAAGTGTTTTGCTCAGTCTGATGCCCTCGACAGCTGTTTGTGAATTTGCAGCAAACAGCCACCTCAGAATCTGTAGGAATCCCTCAGAGCTTGTTTCCTCACAAAGAAGGGGAAACTCATGCTGCTCATCTTTCTCCACACTTCTCTGACAACTCCTGGTCGGGAAAGCTGGTGACAGGTACAAAAACTGTATGTATCCTTGCCTGTTCCACTCCTTAACAGCAATGAGTAAAGTTGTATCTGCTGAAAACTATTCTAAAAGTTCTTGTAGATGCGTTTCCCTCTTCTGAAACAAAGCAAAGACATTGACTGATGCACTGCAGAAAGCCTGGTCCTTGGTGGGTTTGCATAACCAGAGCACGAAAATAGGATTCCAGAGAGCTCAGAGATATTTTTATATACAGGTATAATTTGAGTTTGACTATGAGAGTAAAAATAAAGTCCAATTTGCAACCTTTCCACCCATCCACTCCTGAAAACCTTATTCTGGAAGATGAGATGTTTCATACAATGAGCTAATTCATAAGCAGTGCATGTTGGAAGGAACAAATTCATCAAAGCAGTAGACCCCAAAATGAGACTGTGGAATTAGGCTTGTGTGCCAAGATTCTAATCAATACAGAATTAGGGTAGTATTAAATTAATATGTGGTATTAAATACCACATAAATGCACAGACAGTAAATCATGTAAAGGAGGTTTTTGATTCCCTGGCAGTGACTGCAGTTAAAGTTCAAATAAGCATAACACAGAATATGCAGTTAATAGCACTGTAGAAATACTAAAATTCATAACTTTTTAACCACGTTTTTAATCTGTGGCTTTTAGAAGTTCTTTTGAAATGGTTTTTCTGTTTCATTTGTAGCATTTAATTATGGATAAAGTGTTGGGTAATAAACAAATACAGTAATATCTGACTCTCTTTTACCATCATATGCCTACAGTTGCTCTGGTTTTTAGTAATTATATTTAGTCTGGTAGGTCCAGAAATTAATTACCATCTACTCTTCACTGTAGGGGATTGAAATAATCATAATAATCAGTTACTGTTTGTACTTTGTAATTACATGTTCTTTACTGTGCACATAATTTGCTACTGTTCACCAAGTAAAATAATGGTCATTCATGGCACAAAGCCAGAGGTTCTCTGTGTTTCTGCACCATCTGAAAAAAGCCATTAGATTTCCAACTGTATCCCTGAAGATTTTCTTATGGAATTAGTAAAAAACCCCATACATGTGATCTGCAACATTAAGCCTCTGTAGATAAAAGTGGAAGTCAGCTGAGAGGCTTGGAGGCTTGAATTTTGAAAGTGACATAGGGGTTGCAGTGCTTGTTTTAGATGCCTGGCTCACAGGGCAGAATCAGATGCTTGGAGTTACTCTTCCTTCAAGGGGATTTGGGAACCTCTCAGTGAAGTTGGTGGCAGCCACTATGCTGAGTGAAGAGCCTCTTAACATCAGATTGAAGAGAGACTAGACCCTCTTAGGAACCAGCACTACAGGTAGAAAGATACCTGTATCAAATGAGTATGTAGAGTATGTAAATGGCAATCATAGAGTTAGGGGTTCTTGCAAGATGTGCCTTTCAAAAGCGTCACTAAAGCAGGAAAAGGTCTACTCCTTTTCTTTTCAAACACATCTGGCAGAGAAGCTGGTCCTCAACCCCCTTTTAAACTAATTCTGAGATTGTTGTAGAGATTCAGTTTAGTACCTCAGTCCTGCATCTGCCACATGCAGAAGACTACCCTGATGATCTATCTGTGAGATGTCTGGGACAGTATTGAGACACTGCAGCACACTTTCCTCCTCTGGTGGAAGCTCAGCCACTGGGATTTACTTCATGACCGAGCGAAATAATACAGCTCTCCAGCGTAAAGATGAGACCTTTCATCTGAGGGAGGGATGCTTGAGTACCTGAAATACCAAGATTACATAGTATGCAAAGTACTTTAGGTGGTATTGCTCACTACTACTTTTGCAAAGCAAAACGTGATGCTAAAACAAGGAACTGTCGTGGCTTGAGCTCAGAGAGCAACTGAGCATCATGCAGCCACTCACTTCCCCCCTTCCCCCCACCAGTGCTGGGTAGGAGAAACTAAAGCAAAAGGCTCGGTAAACAAGAACAGGGAGGGATGACTCTCTCAATACAGTCAGAGGCAAAAGACAGACTTGGTAGAAGAAAAAAGAACATAAATTTAATTCAGAAACTAACAACAACACTTAACAGATAGAGTAGGACAGTGAGAAGCATTACCACATCTTGAAAACACCTTCCCCCCACCCGGCCCTTCTTCCCAGGCTCAACTTTGTTCCCAGTCTCTCCACCTCCTCCCCCACAGCTGCACAGGGGGCAGGGGATGGATGGTGCAGTCAGTCCTGCCACTTCTTACTTCCCCGGGGGAAAGCTTCTCACATTATTCCTCTGCTCCAACTTGGTTCCCCTCTCAAGGGAGACACAGTCCTCTGTGACCTTCCTCCAGTGTGAGTCCTTCCCACAGGCTGCAGTGGTTCCCCAGGTTCTCTGGTGTGGGTCACCCCAGAGTGTTCAGTGTTGCAGTCCTCCCAGTGCTGAACTGCAACAGTTGGAGATTCTTCT